TCATTCTTTCTGATATTTGCTCTTTTTTCTTTCTTGCTTGCATTGCCACTTCTTTCTTCCTTTCTTTCTTTCTTTCTTTCTTTTTTTCATTTTTTTCTTTCTTTTATTCTTTCTTTCTTTCTGATGTCACACTTTCGACTTCTGACGAAGATTAATAATGGAAACTTCAAAAATATCTTGTTCTTGTGAAAGTACTGCAAAAAAAAAAAAATGTGTCAGTTGAAGTTGACTGTCCTGCTTAATGTTGTTGGGGCCATTGAAACAGTCTAAAAGAATTCACGAAATGTTATTAAGTAAAACCTTAGAAAGAATTTTAGACAAACAAACAGGACATAAGACACGAGAAAAAGAAATCAAATTTAATAAGAAAATGTTAAATTATTTGATAAAGCTTATTGTCCCATGATCTCCAGTGTTGGTCACAAGTTTCAACTGTAGTGAAAATTAGACGCGACAGGTATAAAGTCACAAATGTAACAAATTGAGACAGGCCGATATATTTTGGTCCGCCATTTTAATGAAAATTGTTTAAGCGGAAAAAACAAAACAAGACAGTGCCTCTGTAGCCAAAACTTCAACTTTAATTCGTTTTTTTTTTCAGCAGTTTTCTAGCTGAGGCAACCAGGTGCAGCAACTCCCCCTAGCGGCTATATGCGGAAATTTCATGAAAGATAACTCCAATTACCCAAGTGACGCCTTATCCGGCTGACTGAGTCTCTTGCACCAATCTCCCTTTCCCCTAAGTCTTGGGCCTTGGGCTCTTCCCAGTATCCAGGCGCCTATGATTAAATACAGGTATATGCTTCACTTATGCAACGACTCCGGGCTCTGCCATTTCCTTTTCCCGTTTTTAAGCGTATTTTAACCCTTTCCTGGTAATTATTTTAATCTAAACGAGTGAGGTCCTATCAAAAGTTTATTTTTGGCATAAATTGAAATAAAAATATGACAAAACCAAAAGAAAGAAAAAAGAAGATATCTTCTGAGATATTTAATCTTCGCCTAAACAGTTGCCGCCAAATATTGGCACTTCAGAGTGCTCCACAACGATTGGCTGTTTTGTTTTTTTTTTTTTTTCACGTCACTTGGTATTGGTTTCTTTAATATTACAATTTTGAGAAGCGAACACACGATTCATTGGAAATGACCAACGATACCAGTGTGACTTTTGGCCACTTCCATAATCACACTTCAAAAGAGATAATCTTCATATATATATATATATATATATATATATATATATATATATATATATATATATATATATACTGAGGCATGTTTCATTGTATAATTTAGACAAGTTTTGTCTACTTATTTTCAATTGGATCCTTTCATATTCACGAACAATTTTGGGTATCATTATTAAATCGCAGTGTTGATACATATTATTTTATTCTAAGTACTTTCGACACAGCACACTGTCATCATCAGGGTGTTTATTTCAAGACAAATATTTTAGTGTTCATCATTTTAAAAGACAAAATTGCTGTGTTCATCTGAAAGTTAAATGTTTTATTTATGAAATGAAGAAAACTGAATGAGTTCAGTGATGGCTTGACTAACGCTTCAGGGGAGAGAACTAAGATAATGTTTTGCCGAGAGTTGTTTTTTTAATAATTATTAAAACTATTAGTGCAAACCTTGATATTTTAAACTATTTATTGTATACATTTTAAAACATTTGCGCAATATTCATAATTAATTTTCTCTGTATATTTACCTTTCTATGTGTGGATGTATTTGAATAAACCTTTGTCTAGTTGCCGAATTTTATTTTATACAGACAATGAAATTAGGATAGTTCTTTTTTCATCTACTTTTGTTTTCTTGGATTTGAACTAAACGCTTTACATTAGAATAAACAGTCCCTTTTTGAATTGGGAAGGAAGGAGGGAAGGAAGGAAGGAAGGAAGGAAGGAAGGAAGGAAGGAAGGAAGGATAGAATGATGGAAGGAAGGAATGAAGGAAGGAAAGAAGGAAGGAAGCAAGTAAGCCAGGAAGGAAGGAAGGAAGGAAGGAAGGAAGGAAGGATGGAAAGAAAGAAAGAAAGAAAGAATGAATGAATGAATGAAGGAAGGAAACAAGGAAGGAAGGAATTAATGAAGGAATGAATGAATGAATGAATGAAGAAAGGAAGGAAAGAAGGAATAAAGAAGGAAGGAATGAAGGAAGGAAGGAAGCAAGGAATGAAGGATATAATGATGGAAGGAAGGAATGAAGGAAAGAAAGAATGAATGAAGGAAGGAAGGAAGGAAGGAAACAAGGAAGGAAGGAAGGAATTAATGAATGAATGAAGGAAGGAAGGAAGGAAGGAATAAAGAAGGAAGGAATGAAGCAATGAATGAAGGATAGAATGATGGAAGGAAGGAATGAAGGAAGTAAAGAGGGAAGCAAGCAAGCAAGGCAGGAAGAAAGGAAGGAAGGAAGGAAGGAAAGAAAGAATGAATAAATGAAGGAAGGAAGGAAGGAAGGAAACTCCTAGAACTTCCCACTGTCCCATGGGTAATTATCGTCTTTTATGGTTTATTAAGCCGTTGCAAGTTATCTAAAGCCAAACATATATTTATATATAATTTTCTTTTGCGTAATATTCATTGAGTGATAAATGTCTTAATAATTAACCCATAGCTGGAGTAGAATAGGGGGATTCAAACCTAATCAGAATTTGATAAACAATCAAGAAATATTAATGTGGCCTAGGCAGTTTCTATACATTTCTATTTCAGAAAATATAAATAAATCCAAAATACATGTCTGTGTAGCTAATCAGTATTTCCTTGATTGATTCATTCGGTTTCTACTGCTTATCAACAAACAAGAAATTATAATGTTGATATAAAATGGGGGGTCAATTCTGTATCATAATCAATATATAAATCGATCCCTCACTTTGCAGTCAATGTAAATAAATCTAAAAGACATGCCTGTGTAACTAATCAATATTTCATTGATTGATTCATTCGTTTTCTATGGTTTATATATATAAACTGATCAAGGAATTATATATAAAGTGGGGGATCATTTCTATATTACAATCACTATATAAGCAGATCCCTCACTTTGTGGCCACGATAGTTTCTATACATTTATATTCCAGAGAATATAAATAAATCTAAAAGACATGCAATCATGTAATTAATCAGTATTTCATTGATTGATTGGATTTCCACGGATTATCAACCTTTTACACGTTATTAAAAGCCAGAAAAATATATTTAGATTCTAAGATTTTTTAGATAATAATGGCTTAGTGATATGAGTATCACTAATTAACCTATAGCTGAGGGGAGAAGAGGTGGATTCATCCCTTTCCCAAGTGTATTTGAGCCTAAGTTTATATAGCGAACCGAACAGGAATTGGAATTCGGCTCTCCGATTAACAATTACGAGCCATTATCCATTATACCATCCGCACATCCAAGCTTACCGCACCTGCTATTCTTGAACAGTCACCCATCTTGGTACTGACCAGGCTCGAAGTTGCTTAACTTCGGTGATGTGGCTGTCAGCCAAATGCAAATTAACTAAAGATGAAATGCCTTTCCTTGTAGCCTAAGAAAATAAAATAGAATTTTTTAAAGATTCTATGAAGAAGAAACTCAAGGCAACGGAGATGTGGTTCTACAGAAGGATGCTGAGGATATCATAGACCGAGCGTGAAGGCAACGATGAGGATTTGGAGATGTAAACAAGGAGGAAGCTTATATTTAACATCAGGACACTATCCAAGTGTACAGCGCCTGATATTCCCAAGCCGTCACCCAAGTATGATCGACGTTGCTTAACTTCGGTGATCGTACTGTATTTCAAAGTGATGTGACCGTAAGCCTTATCGATGTGGAGGTTTAGGAAGATGTAAAATACAGAGTTTGTTTAAGGCGGTTGAAGAATATTTTATGAATTAATCGGTTAAGATCTGAAACTGAGTCTGTCTTTTTGGTAATATAAACGTGAAGTCACGTTGCTGTCTTACAGATGAGATTTTAAGCGCCCCAAGACGAGAGAGTCGTTTTTTTTTTGTTTTTTTTTTTTAGTTGGGGAGCTTTTCTTTTGATGTAAGTAGCTTCCGTAATTTGTAATCATAGTTCTTATTTGAGCGATGTAAAATTATAGAATTGTCTACTACGGTATAACGTAAATTATCGGGTAGATTATAGAGATGTTTAATTACTGAGTCAATTAATATCGAGTTTTGTATGGGGCACTCGGTATGGATCGAATTCACTAACCAGTAGTGATGATTGCCTAGACTAGCCTCGTTAAACATTACTCTATAAATCACGATCAATAGCTTTAAACCCTTTTTAGTGAAGAGTGACAGGATTAACGGTACACTATTTACATTATTTGGACTATTGTCCTCATCTTTGTCGACAACGGTATTACAACGGTCCGGCCTTCTTCAGGTGGTTGGAATGTCGAACTGAACCCTTTAATTCTCTCACTGAATAATGTAAATAATGTAGATAAAATCTCATCTCAGAAATATAGACAACTACTGAAGGATTAAGGGTTTAATAAATACTGCAATATATAAACACGCCATCTGGAAACTATCTGATTTGGAAACAAATATATTTTTCAGCGTGACAACGATCTCAAACAGGTATCGTATTTAACAAAAAACAAAAAATAAAATAAAAAAACAGAATATCAAACAAAAATAAAACAGCTGCAAAACCCTGATAGTAACAGATTAGCTTCCACGAAGTCCATATTTGCACATTGTAGAAGCAGTGTAGGTTCAGTCATCCGGTAAGATATGTCCTCACTCGATACAAACATTGTTAAGACATCAGCAAGCTTCTGGATTATGGTTTCTTAACAGCAACCTAAAGTGGGTTGAATGATTGTAGATGATCGCCTGAACCATAAAAACAAGATGAAAAAACAAAATCGAGACATGACTGGAGGACAAGAAAGAAATTTTCAGCTTTCTTTATTATTTCGTTAGACAAAAATGAAAAAAAAACCGAATTGTTATGTCATATCATTCCTTTTCTTTGGACAATCTCCTCAAAGATGAAGAAGATATTTGAAGCAATAAAAATGGAGTTCTACAAAAGAATGCTGAGAATACGATAGACCGAATGCGTCAGCAATGATGAAGTTTTTAGAGAAGATGGAAACAAAAAGGATATTTAAACTTAACATTATGAAAAGACAGTTGAGGTTTCTAGGGCACATAAAGAGGAAAGATTGCTTGGAAAATGTGATACTCAGAGGACAGATTGAAGGCAAGAGGGAGATGAATCAACGTATGAGTAAATGGATGGTAGAACAAGGTTTAGGCGTGATAACAGCCTTTATTAAGAGGGATAACAGCCTTTATTAACAGTTTAGGAGAGATAACAGCCTTTATTATACAGTTTAGAAGATATAACATACTTTATTATACAGTTTAGGTGAGATAACAACCTTTATTATACAGTTTAGGAGAGATAACAACCTTTATTATACAGTTTAGGAGAGATAACAGCCTTTATTATACAGTTTAGGAGAGATAACAGCCTTTATTATACAGTTTAGGAGAGATAACAACCTTTATTATACAGTTTAGGAGAGATAACAACCTTTATTATACAGTTTAGGTGAGATAACAACCTTTATTATACAGTTTAGGAGAGATAACAACCTTTATTATACAGTTTAGGAGAGATAACAGCCTTTATTATACAGTTTAGGAGAGATAACATACTTTATTATACAGTTTAGGAAAGATAACAGTCATTATTATACAGTTTAAGAGAGATAACAGCAATTATTATACAGTTTAAGAGAGATAACAACCTTTATTATACAGTGTAGGAGAGATATCAACGATTATTATACAGTTTAGGAGAGATAACAGTCATTATTATATGGTTTAGGAGAGATAACATCCTTTACTATACAGTTTAGGTGAGATAACAACCTTTATTATACAGTTTAGGAGAGATAACAGCGATTATTATACAGTTTAGGAGAGATAACAGCCTTTATTAAGAGCTACAAAGGACAAGCAGCTATGGAGAGCTGTTACCCTTTACTTATGATGAAATACATTTCGCACTACACTATTTCCTAAGTACAAAAAAAATTTAGAAAATCGACAGACACATAATAACATTCGAAGAAAGTTCTTTTTCAAAAATTCTGCTGATATGAACTGGCTTCATTTTTTTTAAATGACTGGGTTTCATTTTTCAAGACGAACTTCATTTTCAGCCCATCTAACAGATTTCTTTATCACATTTCCATATGGCAGTGAACGCTGGACAATCTCCTCACAGATAAAGAAAACTTGAAGTAACATATGGTTCTACAGGAGGATGCTGAGGATGCCGTGGACCAAACATGTGAGCAACGGCAGTGACAGTTGAGGTTTCTTGGTCACATAATAAGGGAAAAGTGCTTGGAGAATCTGATACTCACAGGACAGATTAAAGGCAAGAGAGACAGTGGAAAATAAATCATAACATACTTAGTGAGCCTCAGTAAATGGACGGCGGAACAGGATTTAGGAGAAATAGCAGAAAGATTACATTTATAAATTCTTATACTGACAGTCAGAAGAGACAGTGGAAAGATTTAAATCACATAATGAGGAAACCGGGCTTGGAAAATCTGATACTCACAGGACAGATTAAAGGTAAACATTACAGTACTTGAGTAAATGGATGGCGGAACAATTTAAATTTAAATCTGAGAAGTGTTCTAACAGAGGACAGAAAAGGAATTTCAAAGGCATATTGACAGCGAAAGATGACTTCCAAAAGCTAAGCAAAGTATTAAGAAACAGGAAAATTTCGTTCGAAACAAAGAAAAGTGTAAGAAACTTTTTTTATGCAATATCAGTCCTCCTCTCTGACAGTGAATATTGAACAAACTCTTCACAGTTTGAAAGAAATTTGAGGAACAGAAATATGATGCTAAAGAAGGATGCGGGGAATACTATGAAATGAATATATGAATAGAGAAAAAAGATCTAAGGAAAATGGAAGCAAAAATGATGCTTATATCTGAATCAGAAAGAGATAATTGAAATTTCTTGGTCATCTAACGAGGAAAGAAGGCATAGAGAATTTGGTACTCACAGGACATAATGAAAACAAAGGAGACAGAAGGAAATAGCGAGCAAGCTACGTAACGATCTTGGATAAATGGATGACAAAATAGGAATTAGGAGAGATAACGAAAAGGCAAACGTTAAGTAAAAAAAGTATATGAAGAGGTGGAGAGCCATGATCGCCTGCATCCTTAAGGGACATAGAACATTAAGAACTTTAAAAACATTCGCTATGCAGATCTAACAGTGTTGATGAAAATTTTACAAGGAAAACGGAAATCTCTTATAGAGGAAGTAATCACAGAATGTGTTGTGACGTAATGGATATCGGCTTGGAGTGAGAACTCACAGAGCCGAGTTCGAATTCTAATCAAGTTCGTTAGATTCAGTTATGCGCAAATACCTTTGGGAAAGGTATGAATCCATATCTTCTCCCCCCAGTTATGGGTTTA